CCAAATTGGGGGGGGTTTGTCTTTCCCTTCGGAGTTAACTCTGCATTCCGCCTTCCTGCTTTCTAGCCCGGCCTTCTTCTGATCGAGAAACTAAATCTCGGTCCTTCCCATTAACCGAGAATTATTCTTGTAGGCCTCCTGGCCTAGGGAAATTTAATTCAGGTTTTTCCAAAGTACCTTCGGAGCGGTAGAAAAAAGGCGCAAAGTTGGAGCCGAAGACGAGAAAAGAGGCGGCGCGATCCTCTCTATCCCAAACTAGCCCGTTGTATTAATTAGTTGCTCCCCACCAGCCTTCCTAACCCGAGTCACAGATTTTTGCGTGCCATCCAACCGCACTGTGGGAAAACGGGCTTTATATAATTCAGCAAAACGGCCTTTGGGGACAAGATGCGTTGCCATTTCAAAGCGCCAACGAAATTCTTTTTTTATTCCAAGCCGAGACTTTGCTCGGGGTTTTGGGGTTCGCTCTTAAGCAAAGCCCAGCGGGCAGGGGAGGCTGGAAGAGAAGGAGGGGGGGGGAGAGAGGGAGGGGCTAAATTGCAACCCCGTTCAAAGAGGCGAAAAGCCCTGAGGTCAGAAAACAAGCGAGTTTTAAACCAGCAGTTTTCCCCCAGCAAAGGCTAAGGACGTTACATCTCCAATCGCCTTGAGCCTTCAGAGAGATGAACTCAGTTTAAATAGCTCATGGATTGGCCCCAGGCAGGCGGTCAGGTTGTTGTTGTTGTTGTTGTTGTTGTTATTATTATTATTATTATTAAGATCCTCACCTATTGAATGTGGAACTCTGGTGATTGGACGTGAAGGTTGTTTGTGGTCTTGTGTGTATGTGCGCGGGCGCGGGCGCGCGTTTTTATCTGGGGTTATGGAAGAAAAAAAAATCTGTTCCTGTTCATTTCCAAAGACACAGATTGGGAAATCAAAGGGATTTTACTTAACAGTAACAGAGTTGGAAGGGACCTTGGAGGTCATCTAGCCCAACCTCCTATACTAGGGATTCGAACCGCCGACGTTTCTGATCGACAAGCTCAGCGTCTTAGCCACTGAGCCACCTAGCTAGAGCTAACGTATTGTTCCAAGCTAACGTATTGTTTGTTATTCAGAGTAGAAGGATGGGTGAGTTAAAATACATTATATGCGATAGAGTAAACTTAATCCAGGTTTTATGTTCCGAAAGGGGACAATCCCATTATTAGATTTTTCTGCGTTCAGGTTCTGGGCAGGTGCCCGGGGAGAATAAAGTTGACACAGAATATTGTGGAGTGACTTTAGAAAAGATGGCGACGCGTGAAAAAAAAAAGAGAAAGGCAGCCAGGTTGAAAGGGAGCAGCTTCTCTGGAAAAGGTTTTTTTTAAAAAAACGATCTAATGATTAAAAAAAAAATAGTAACACCCAACAAATACAAATCAAAATCAAAATAAGCCTGATAGGAATCCAGCAAGAGTGATCTTCGGGATTTAGAACGTTTTTGGAGTAAAAGAGAGTGTGGATTTTTTATCTGTCTTTTGTTTTTTGGATTTGATTGAATGATGATATTATTAATAGATACGATGCTCTTAATAACGTATTAAATGCAAAGGCGCTTAACACTAGATTTCCTAAAGTTTGGGGATGGGGTGGGTTTATCAGAAAAAAGACAGGACTTGAAGCTCTCGGTTGGTGTGTGCATAAAACTCTCTCTCTCCCTCTCTCTCTCTCTCTCTCCCTCTCTCTCTCTCTCTCTCTCTCTCTGTGTGTTTTGGCTTTCCAGTCTGCCTTAAATCCTTGATGGTTGCCTGGACAAGTTCACACAACTCTTTAGGCGGCATTTTTGGGAGGTGTTTGTTGTTTCCTAGTTCCTTGGGCTGAGAGAGAAGGGACTGGCCCAAAATCACCCAGTTTGTGCCTAAAACAGGATCACATCTCCGGCAGAGCCACGCCCTAACTTCTAGACTGAATTGACTCTTGAATTGACTTCTTAATTCCTTTCTGGCCATAACCCTGACCTTCCAGGCTTTGAACTCTGAGAGTCCTTCGTGTTGAGAAAGGCATGGTTGACAGCAAAGCAGAGATTGCAGTTGGAGAGTCTGAATTAGCCCAATATTCTTAAATCTATCCGGTCCCAAGGAATGTGCTTGGGTTTAATTCCTAGCTCATTAAAAGAGTTTGAAGTTGGGTTAAGTCTGGTGGCAGAAATGCCTCGCAGTATACATTTGATGGAATCACAAAGACCCCAAATATTGTTTTTAAATCATCTCATTTCCCCCTTCCCCAATTCTGAGTGGTGTTTGCTTGGTTTGTGAATTAAATTGGTGAATTTAATGCACGTGTGGTTGTTTGTAAGATATGACTAGGGGAGGAGAGGGAAGGAGAAAATAGAGAGAGGGGTATGGAATGGTTATTGCTTCAGGACTGAGAAAAATATCTTGAGGCTTACGATATTTTCCCTTTCATTTTAAACATATTGGAAATGAAAATAAATTTATTGGGGAAATAAGAGAGCACGTTACAGTGATATTTTCCTGGGTTCAAAGGACAATGTCGTTTAAAATCTTAACAAATGCACCCACCCATCCATCCATGGTACACTTGGTTTAAAGTTGGTTATTTGTTTCTAGGGTACAGTGTGAAACCAAACTAAATCTTTTGTTCATGATTCAAGAGAAAAGACTAATTTACCAGGTTAAGGCTAAACTCGTACCTGCTGTGCCTTGATTTCTAGTCCTTTGCTAAACATTGCCTTGTCTTTATGGGTGCTAGAAAACTTAACTTTGTTTCTAGCCACAGTTCCTAGAAATGGGATTTTAGGTCCCGGCCCTAAAAATTTTAGAGTAAGAATCTGGGAATAAATAAACCAGTCCAAATTCATGGTGATACCTCTTGGAATTGGATGCTAACCCCATTGAGCTCAATCGTTTGGAATTCTTCCCCTTAAAGTCAATGGGCCTTGGAAGCATTCCAGTGGGGGCTGCAGACGGGCCAAGCAGTAATAGAGGAATGAACAGGGCTAGATGGTTCTGATTCTATTTTGGTGATCTCCTGTGTGCCACCCTTCCATAATAGCTAGAAAATCTCAGTGTTAGGAGATCTTAGGCCGCCAGGAAGGATCCCATCAAAAACTGGCACAAATGCCTAGAAATGACACAAGTGTTGGTGTTGATACATAGAATAACAGAATTGGAAGGGAACTTGGAGGTCTTCTAGTCCAATCAACTGTTCAAGCTGGAAGCCTTATACCATTTCAGAGAAATGGTTGTGCAATCTCTTCTTAAAAGCCTCCAGTGATGGAGCATCCACAACTTCTGGAGGCAAGTTGTCCCACTGATTAATTGTTCTCGCCGTTAAGAAATTTCTCCTTAGTTCTAGGTAGCTATAGTGGTGGTGGGATTAACTAACGACCCAACGCCGTCCTATCCTTGTTGCTCCTTTAACTCGTAGCATTGAACCGATCTCGGATGGTTTTAACCCCAAAGCAATGGCCACCGCATTTTTCTCCACCCAGTTTAAGTAGGGTTTGTGCCTCGGGTGTAAAACGAAAGGAAGGTTACGATCACCCCGAACGCCTAAGCAGATCAAGTAGTAGCCAAGTAGTAAGAATGGAATAGAATTTTTTTATTGGCCAAGTGTGATTGGACACAGGAGGAATTTGTCTTGGTGCATAGGCTCTCAGTGTACATAAAAAGAAAAGATACGTTCATCAAGAAGGTACAACACTTCATGATAGTCATAGGGTACCAATAAGCAATCAGGAAACAATCAATATAAATCGTAAGGATACAAGCAACAAACTTACAGTCATGCAGTCATAAGTGGGAGAAGATGGGTGATGGGAACGTTGAGAAGAGTAATAGTGGTGCAGACTTAGTAAATAGTTTGACAGTGTTGAGGGAATTATTCATTTAGCAGAGTGATGGAGTTCGGGGAAAAAACAAAATAGTAGTCAAGTAGTAAGTTGCATTTACACGCGCTCCGTGCGGTGGCTTCGTTCGTAGCGTCCGGTGTAGCTCGCGCACCCACGAAGTGGGTTCACTTAGTCCCCAGATTCCGGGGGGCGGGAGCTGGCGGGTGGGGTGGGGGGGTCGACCTGCGAAGCCAACAGGAGCCCCCCCCCAAACCCCACGGGGTTTGCTTTGAAGGACTTGGAGCCGGGCCGTTTCTCTCTTAATTGAAGCGCTTGGGAGGAAGGGAGGGAGGGAGGGAAGGACCGCGAGCGGCTTTCTCTGCAGGGTTTCAAAAGAAATGCCGGAGCAAAGGAAAAGTGGAAGGGGAGGGGAGGGGAAAGGGGGGGGAGAGAAAGAAGGATTCAAAGCGGCGCGAAGCAGCGATGATTTGAATGCGAGGCCAGCCATTGGTGCAAAGCCGGGCTGACGTCATTTCCCAACGAGGGGGATTCACATCAGAAAAGCATTTCGGGGCAGGGTGGGCCGAGTCAATGCAAACCGGCTGCTTCGCCCGAGGGAACGAATGGCTCAGATGGGGTGGGGGAAAGGCAGCGCCCTGAATGGGTGGGTGCTTTTCCCTTCCCTTCCCTCCCCTCCCCAAGCCACTTTTTCCTCCCCAGCTTCAAACCTGCAGATCAGGTCAGATCTGGCTATCGATCTGCTGAAGGAAAGGGCTACATCCCACCCCTCTCTTTCTCTCTCTCCCCCGCTCTTGGCGCCCTCCCCCCCCAAAAAAACACCCCTTATGTATCCATATAGTGATTTTCTCCTTTATTTTTCCCTGATGGTAGCTCGAAGATCCAGAAGCATTCCGTGGTCTGCCACAGCACGTTGAGCCTGATGCCCAATCCCATGGAAAGAAAAGAAAAGAAAGAAAGAGAAAAAGAAAGAAAGAAGAAAGAAAAGAAAAGAAAAGAAAAGAAAGAAAGAAAGAAAGAAAGAAAGAAAGAAAGAAAGAAAGAAAGAAAGAAAAGAGAAAGCCTCAAGAGGGAGGGCCGTTTCTGTCTTTGGTTATCTAGCTGTATGAGTGTTATCAAGCCATCATAAAGCTAGATAACCGAAAGTAGAAATGACTTCCAAAGACTTCTGGGAACCGAGAACTGGAAAGAAAGAAAAAGAAAGAAAGAAAGAAAGAAAGAGAAAGAAAGAAAGAAAGAAAGAAAGAAAGAAAGAAAGAAAGAAAGAAAGAAGACAATTCGTGGCCATGGACCCAACTGGAGGAATGAGCGAGGACGAAAGCAGCCAGAACAGACCAAGATTTCTTTCTTTTTCTTTCTTTTTTCTTCCCCCTTTTTTTCTTCTTCTTTTGATCCACCAGGTCTTTAAACTTGATGTTCAAGGAGTTTGCCTAGCGGCCTCTCTTCAATACAGGTATCCTTTTATATGTCAGTAGTAGTACTACCTCCTAATTTGTTCATTCTTTGCTCGGTGTTTCTGTGCAGTTCTTTTCAAGGGATTTGGCAACTGAAGCCTTGACGTCTTTGGTTCTTTTATCGGAGGGGAAATTAAACCCAAGGCCAACAGTTTAGGAATCGGGGGGGGGGAAGAGCTTTGAAAAGAGAGGGTAGCTGGGGACAGACCAGTGGGCACTTGCTCAGATGGGGTGGGGGTGGCAGGGAAGAGGAGGAGGAGGAGGAGGAGCTGCCAAAAGCATTGGAAAGAATCCCTTCTCCTACCTAGCCACAGCACAGCTAAAGTAAGACAAAAAAAGCCAAATAAAACTCATGGATGAGAAAAGTGATAAACGTGGGTTGGAACCTGAAGTTCGAAAAGTAAAAAAAAATGACTTGACAAACCTTAAGGGGGTGGCAGGGAGGAGGAAGAGGAGGAGGAGGAGATGCTGCCAAAAGCATTGGAAAGAATCCCTTCTCCTAGTCACAGCACAGCTAAGAAAGAAAGTAAGACAAAAAAAAGCCAAATAAAACTCATGGATGAGAAAAGTGATAAACGTGGGTTGGAACCTGAAGTTCGAAAAGTAAAAAAAAAATGACTTGACAAACTTTAAGGCGTGTAGAAAGGACAGGGGAGTGTGGGTGGGAGGAAGATTGGAGAACATCTACAATTGGTGGGAGTTGGTGCCTAAGGAGGGGATTAGGTTGTAGACTGAAGTCTTTTCAACAATGCCCCTTTGCAAATTAATCTAGACACCCGGCCTCTACCAGTTTATGGAATTGCTCTCCAACCAGTCCCCCTGCCTCTCACAAGGCGTCCAACACCCCTCTTCCTAAATTTCTTGGTTTGTTAGAAGGCTCTCCCCCTCTCTCCTCCCCCTCCCTTTAAATTCTGCCCCTCTGTGAGGTCAAGTTCTTGATAATTTGATCACTTTTCATGGACTTTATCTGCCAGCTTTGTGTACAGCTAGGGGGTCTCCACACAGGGTGAAGTGAAGCAGAAAGGAAGGGGGATTTCTGAATAGAAAGCAGCCGGGATTTTGCAGCCCGACCTTCACACTGAGAGACTCGGCCTGCATACAAACTACCTGTTTGAATGGCGGAGACTTTTTTTTCTTCCTCTCTCTTCTCTCTCTCTCTCTCCCCCCACCTCCCTGCCCCATATCGCCCCCTTCTCCGAGTTGCCTCGATGGTTAACATTCACAAAGTCTTCTTTACCTGACCGCAAACCCCCAAAGTCGAAACATAATATATATTACAATGTCTAGCAAATAAAATAAAAAAAAAAGCAATTGGGCAATATCTGCATTCAGTTCCCATGGTAACACAAAGAACCACGCTAGCTTGGCCTAGCTTCTCTCTTTGGGCACATTGGGGTTCCCTGTTTGAGACAAATAAGCGAGGTTTTTTTTTCCCCTTCCCCTTCTTTCTCTCCCTCCCTTCTCGTTGGAGCCAAACCTATTCAAGTCTTCTCTCTCTGTGTGTGTGTCTCTCTCTCTTTCTCTCTTTCTCACTGTCTTTCTCTCTCTGTGTGTCTATGGCTCTATCTCTCTCTGTCTCTCTCTCTCTGTGTCTCCTTCTCTTTCTCTCTGTCTCTCTCTGTCTTTCTCCCCCCCTCTCTCTCACTGTGTGTCTCTGTCTCTGTCTCTCTCTGTCTATCTCTCTGTCTCTTTTTGTCTCTCTCTCTCTCTGTCTCTCTCTCTCTCTGTGTTTCCCGCTCTTTCTCTCTGTCTCTGTCTCTCTCTGTCTCTTTCTCCCTATCTCTCTCTCTCTGTGTGTGTCTCTGTCTCTGTCTCTCTGTCTCTCTCTGTGTCTCTTTTTGTCTCTGTCTCTGTCTCTATCTCTCTGTCTCTGTCTCTCTCTCTCTCTTTCTGTGTCTCCCTCTCTCTCTCTGTCTCTCTCTGTCTCTTTCTCCCTGTCTCTCTTTCTGTGTGTATGTCTCTCTCTCTTTCTCTCTGTCTCTCTCTCTCTGTCTCTGTCTCTCTCTGTCTCTCTCTGTCTTTCTCTCTGTCTCTCTCTATCTCTTTCTCTGTCTCAAAACCATTCACACAAGCATTTCACTATTATTTCTCAAAAGTCTGGCTGAGATTCCTATTAGAAGATACTGTCACTCTGCTGAAGCCTCCCTAGGAAGTTCTCCCAAAGGTCCAGGGCTTTTTCTTAGCTTCTCCCCAAGAGGGAACAGCTTAGTGCTGTTTGAATTTAAACTTCTTATTTTTAAGGGGGAGGGTTTCTAGACCTGGGAGTCATTGTGTAGAATGTAGCCACAATGCTGGCCATTCTAAGGCATTAGGAGAACTTGTAGCCTCCAAGCTTCAACTAACTATGCATTGTCTCCAGTTGGATGGAGCATGTGAGCTTCCTTTTACATTAAGGCTAGAGCTGATGGTTGACCTTCAACCCAGCACCTTAGTCCATCACTGTATTGTCTTTATTTTCAGTCTGCTTCAAACGAGGGGAGTAAGATGGAGTGTTTGCACACCTTGGCCTTTGTAACCATCAAAACCACTTTTTTCCCTAGCAAGAATTACCAGGGGATGCCTAACACAGGCATTAATTTAACAGTGTGTGTGTGTACTCTGTGTATGTGTGATTGTGCATCTTCATGGCTCCATAATGGATAAACCTTGAAGAGATTGGTTGTCTGATTCTGAGAAGGCTTTGTTCAAGTCAACTTGACTCCTGTGACACCATGATAGCTACAAGCAAATAGTTTGTCATTGCTTTTTTTAAAAACAACAACAACAACAACATCTTAACCTGGGTTATAGCTGTAGGATTTCTCAGTGGCCTCCCTTATTTTTTATTTATTTATTTATTTATTTATTTATTTATTTATTTATTTATTTATTTATTTAGTCAGATTTATATGCCGCCCTTCTCCCGCAGGACTCGTGGCGGCTCACAACAATAAAACAACCCGACAATAAATAAAGAGTTAAATAATATTAAAACCAATTTAAAATCCCCAATCCCCAAGTTAAAATCCACAACAGATCAGGGAAGTTGGTGAAAAAGCCATGTCTTTAGGTCGGCGCAGAAGGTGCGGAGGTCGGGGGCCATCCGGAAGTTCGGTGGGCAACCCATTCCAGAGGGTCGGTGCGACCACAGAGAACGCCCTCACCCTGGGGACCGCCAGCGGACACTGTCTAGCCGAGGGGACCCGGAGGAGGGCAGCCCTATGTGAGCGCACTGGGCGGTGGGAGGCCGGTAGGAGGTGATCCTGCAGATACCCTGGCCCTTCCCTTCAGAAGTCAGCAGCGTGGTCACAGGGTACATTAAAAAAAAGAAGAAGTTACAATGATGTCCATGAAGGTCCATCTGTCTTTATATATGTTACATGTGTTCTGTTTATAGCATATTGTGTGAGCACTGCCAAATATAATTTATGCAATGAATGGCAAACAAACCAGGGCTTAACCTGGTATGTGAGGTTAAGCTGTCCTTGCAGGATCCAATCTGGGTCAGTCACTGGGAAACAGAGGTTTTGTCTTCCGAGTGTCTGGATTCGTGCTGGAGCCCATCCTCAGGGAACCTTCTCTCTAGCAGAGATTGCTAGAGTATCACACCCTCTGCTAGAGAGAAGTTCCCTGAGGATGAGCTTCAGCACGAGTCCGAAAGCTCAGATGACTAAACCTCTGTTTCCCAGTGACCGACCCATAATTGGATCTTGCAACATCATCCTGGGACACGTATATTTGCCTTCGTTCGTGAGCTGTCCTCCTTTATGGTAAGCAATGTAGGAAGTGACCCTGAGGTCTTCTGTACGTACCATGGAAGGTCTTCATCGCTGAATTTACAGGCCGTTTGTTGTTGTTGTTGTTGTTTCTCCCCCCCATTTTGTGAGATTGGCTAGGCCATGTCTGTCAGAGTTCCTTGCAAAAATCAAATCCAGAAGCGCACACACAGACAAACTGATGCATTAGCTTCTTTATATTCATAATAACACATAAAGTATATTTACAATACCAACAGTGGTTCTTCAGCTCAGATCAGCAGACATTTTCACACCAGTGGTGGGTTTCAAATTTTTTTATTACCGGTTCTGTGGGTGTGGCTTGGTGGGCGTGGCATGGCTTGGTGGGCGTGGCTTGGTGGGCATGGCAGGGGAAGGATACTGTAAAATCTCCATTCCCACCCCTCTCTGGGGAGAAGGATACTGCAAAATCCCCGTTTCCTCCCAATCACCTGGGACTTGGGAGGCAGAGAATAGATGGGGGCGGGGCCAGTCAGAATTTTTACTACCGGTTCTCCGAACTACTCAAAATTTCCACTACTGGTTCTCCAGAACTAGTCAGAACCTGCTGAAACCCTCCTCTGGTTCTCACACAGAGTACAGCAGAGAGACCTTAACACACACTCACTCTGAATAGTTCCAGTTTCAATTCTCTGCACAGACTCAGAAGCTGCAGACTAAGACACGCTCTGGTTCCAGTCCATCTCAGCTCCCAATTGGCTGACCTTGATACCATGTCTTTCCAGTCATGAATATTCTGACAATGTCGCCAATTTCTGCACCATTCCTCCACGAAGTCATCATGCACTTTATATACAGAGCAGTGCTGAGTTGCTTTCTCGCCCACAGATATGACCCAAATTTAGACAAAGCAGCTTTCCTTTCAACTTCCCAGCTGAGGGGAATGACACGATTCTATTGTACCATATTCAAAGAAATTTTCTTTTCAAAACAGAGTGACCCACAGCCAGATCTCTGGGATACTGTAAGCGAAGGGCTTTTAAGCTCAGAAATGATTTAATGGATGGATCATGTGCCATTGAGGTGGTTGTTTATTGTTAGTGGAACACACAGGTAGATTTATTTCTCTAGGAGGACGCTGTAACGGTATCCATCCAACTTGTCCACGGGTGTCCTTTTCTACTTTCTTCTACCTTTCCCAGCATTATAGACTTCTCCAAAGAGCTAGGATCGTGATGGCGAACATAGGACATGTGTGCCACAGGTGGCATGCGGAGCTGTAT